TTGAGGTCTAATCAATTAAAATTAGCACTCAAACATTAACATTAACTATAAATGCACACATGATACAGGAAAGAGGGATGTGTATACATTCATAATCAGCTAAATACAAGTATAAGAATCAGAAATACCTTTGGCAAACGAATTAGAAGATCAACATTAACTTCGGGTTTCACAATGCAACCAATTGAATAACTTCCACCAATTTCAATAAATTTAGGCTTCTTGAATTTAAAATCCACTTTATCAGCACCTACATCTCTCACAAAACCCGGCGCCTCACTCGCAGTAACCTGAAATCACTCGTACAAATATGAATTAAAAATTTCAAAATTATAAAACAGGGTTTAGGGTTTAAGAAATTGAAGTGTAACAGATAATCAAAGAGGAGAGAGAAAGACCTGGAAATCTTCAGGAATTTTGGCAATGACATTTTTAATGGAAGAAACGAAGTTATCAACTAGTTTAGTAAATGAAGGTGAAAGCTCATAGGTGACGTCCTTAATGAGGTCGCTTACTCTGTGTCCAAGTGGTTCAACCGCCATTTTTACCGATTGTTTTGCGCCGGAGTTTTACCGGCGGTAACGTCGACGGCGACGGAAAAAGTAACGACGGCGGCGGGAAGGAAAGTGAATATGAATTACAGTTGCAGGTTAGAAGAGAGGCGGGAGAAGGGGAGGAGAGGGAAAAATGGAGTGTTTCTGAGGTTGAAGTCCAGGGCAAGAAGAAATTAAGGAAAAGAGTAAAACTAGTGAATTTTTTATGGGCCAATGTTATGAAGAAAGCCCAATTTTATGGCCCATGAAATTACTGAATCTATTATGGGGCCATGTGGGTTGGATTGAAATAATTACTATTTGGACCAGCCCATTGGGAAGAATCACTGGTTATAGGATAAACTAACATTATTACACCGATTTACGCATGTTTTGTTATAAATTCCCAACTTAATTTCAATTTAGGAATTTTTTTATTTTTAAAAGGGATAAATATATCATTACCATAATAATTTTGATGCATAGAGATACTAAAATTCAATTTGTGATGTATAAATATATTAGGTTAATTTTTAAATTACTACCCAAAAATGTAAACATATTCGAACTAACCACGCGTTTAATTTTTTATTTTAAATTACCACCCCTTAAATTAAATAAATGCTCAACTTACCACCCATTTTAAAAATCAAGTGGATTTTCTGTCTATAGGCCCCACCTAACACTTATTTTGACCATTTTAACTGATTTTTTTTCCCGATTTTTCTCTTTATAAACGCTCTCTAAACTTTAATTCACATTTCTATCACCAAGTTCTACCAAATTTCAAAGAGAAAAATGTGAATTGAAGTTAGGATAGCGTTTTTAAAGAGAAAAATCGGGGAAAAAATCAGTCAAGGGTCAAAATAAGCGTTATGTGGGGCTCACAGATGGAAAATCCACCGGATTTGTGAAAAGGTTGGTAATCTTAGCATTAATTTAATTTAAGGGATGATAATTTTTTTAAAAAGGTGATTAGTTCGAAAATGGTTACATTTTTTGGTGGTAATTTATAAATTTTCCAATATATTATGAATTTATGATTGTGTGTAGATGTATAGAAGTTTAACTAGATAGGTCATAAACCAAAAACAATACAGTACATAGAATGCAGCTATACACAAATTGAGAGATCGTCTTTCCAAGAGTAGAACATTTGACTGCATTAACACACAAATCTTTAGCAACACAACATACTATGAAAGAAGTTCTGATTATGACTGTGTGAAGTGCAAGAGCACAAATATATCTAATTGTTGCACATAATGTGAAACGGATGTAGTATATAAACATAAAAATAGCTTAAGTTTGTATTTCAACAATCAGTTAATGCTTAATTTTACAGCAACTGGCAACTATCTCATGAAAAGATCTTATAATCTAATCAACACTACAATGACTTCTAATGTCCCACGATAAGTTAGTACGAGAACATATATCCCACCAAAAACTCTCTAATTCTATATAAAAAGATCAATTTTTGTATTCTCTATCCACATATGACAGATCAAAATTGTAGGAAGATCAAGAACTTATTACTACCCCACACATGAAAGACACCAAGATGCCATTAAAAACTACTGGTCGATCCATGTGATTATAAAAGCTTGTATAAATATAAACAGGATGAATTTAATTTCCTGGCTTTTCAATAAAAACAATTTGATTGCAATAAAAATAGTAGTATCTTCCGAAATTTGATTCAGAAATCCAGATAAGTGTTAAAATCACTTAAATTTCATCTTTAACAAGTAAGAAATCAGAGCAAGAGACAGCATCGTAAGCCCGTGAATCACAAATGCTACATAGGAACAAAGTTGTCCTTTCTTGTTTTATTCTATTTTGGTTATGTAATTGGGGTATGCTATACATACTACATAGACCCTCATATTACTTCAGGGATCAAAATTCAAGCTTCTTTGGAAGTTCTGATAATTTTTAAAATGGCCTAGAATTTGTTCAGATGATAAGCTAACTAATTTTGGAATGTCAATTATTTTTGTGTACTATCTTATCATAAATGACAAAGTGGATTTATATACACGTATATATAGTTTTATGTGGTGGGCATGCTAATTGCTATGTATTGATTTATTACATACAAAAAGTAAAACATCAATATCAATATATAATACTAAAACTCAATGACAAGACATGGAATCGTAACATTGGGATGATCTTTGGTTGATTATTGTAATGGTGTATTATTAGTATTTCAAATGCACGATTACTATGGCGAGAAGATGATTTAAAGTCATAAAGGATCGTGTTGGTTGTTTTCTTAAATTTTACGATGAGTGGATATATATTAAGGCATGTTGGGATGTATCAGGTGAACTCCCCATCGATCGCTTGACAATAACATGACTCCACATCATAACTTCAAAGTATGTTGTTTAAAAATTTTGTGAAACCAATCGTCGAGCAAGCCTAATACCTTATACGAGTATAATCCAAGATCTTTAATAACTAACCACTGTTCCATTTGACATGCAAACTAATACAGAGTTGCTTAATGTGCATCAATATATACCAAGGTACATTACGTTAGCATTGACATTATTGTAGCTAAAACTGATACAATATATATATCGATTATGGGCTTTAACCACCAGCTTAAATTTTTTGGTTGAGTTGATCCTTTAACATGGTATCATCATAACAAAAACAACATCAAATAAACCATTGTGAAAGTAATATTATTGGCCTAAAGTATCGGGTGTAAAAATGGACAGTTCTTGTGAAGTTATTATTTTCACTGTAACATAATGTTCGGGACAATGATTATAGACAACACAAAGTTTATTTAGATCACGTAATGCATTAATCAAAAATAAAAGAAAAAAATTCAGGACAAATATAGCTGTAATTCTCTAGTGTATGCTATAAAAAAGAGAAATTTGGTATGATCCCCCAAAAAAAGGACGATCAAGATTTATAAAACAATGTTATGTTCTCTTGATCCCACCATACTGTAATTAGATACTTTACAAAAGTGCCAAACAATATGACAAAGAAAGAAGAAGAATCCAAACCTAAGATGAAATACCTTGCATTATAAGCAGACTTATAAACGTAAGTTGGTAGCTTATTTAGCTAAAGCAGCAGTCTCAAAGTGTCATTTTTAAAGCCTCCGACCAATTTGTTTAAATGCTTTACCTCGTCTGCGGGTATGGAATCTGCCAAGGCCGCAGGTCATATATATATATTAGATTTTACAAATTTATCAAAATAAAATAGTGGTAATATTCGAGATCGTTGTTGATCTGTTATAATAAAACTGTTGATTAATAGTTTAAAAACAAGTTCTGCAACTTAAAAGTTAGAACTTTGTTCTCTTCTCCTCGTCCCTAGTCTCTATTCTCTTTGCCAACGTTCTGATCACATAAATTAATCAAAATTAACTGTACAAAAAAAGAGAAAAAACAGTACATACTGAATCTCCCTTTATTTGTTTTCTCTTAAAACCCTCAGCTTTTGGTATTGGGGGGGACTACACCTTATACTATATGCTTTGACCACCTTGTTTCTTCTACGCGGCGCCTGAAGATCACATCATCAGATCCACTTCATTAATTTTTTTTTTCTCTTGTTTTTCTTAGCATATTGCTCATGTTTAACTTTTTTATTTATGCATCACTAATGGTAGTTTAGACTTTCTTTGTATATACAACAAATATTATTGATTAAATTAGGGAAGCACAAGTTTAAATTTAATTATTTCAACATATGCATTGTATTTCACAAGCTCGGCCTACTTAAAACAAAAATGGTTTGACACTGGATGAAGACATGAAGTGAATTGAACTCGAAAACACAACATATCCCAATACATTATGAAAATAGATAAGGTCTAGTATAATATTTTGTGTATTGGGTCATAGTTTGGGCTTAACTAAACCACATTTTGGTCAAGGAAACACACTATCCTTTCAATTTGGCAGCATGGCACAAGGCCTGCCGGACTTGACATAGGGTATGCTTGGCTAACCCCATTGGAAAGACACAAAATCTATAACGAGATTTCATCTTACAATTTATTGGCTATGAGAGACGTACAACTTGATTTATAACTGAAAAATCTGTTAAAGTTTCAAAGTAACCTATTACATTAATCAAATAACAGATGAAGCTATTAAACACATCGTACAATCAAGTTACATTGTATCTTTACAAGTTACTATTTGCTAATTCTTATTGAGTTTTGACCTTTGAACTGAATATGTATACTGTAATGTAACAGTAGCAGATCCATGTCGTTATATGCTTAATCAAATGTGCAGGAACATCTATGATCAATATTGACAATATAGCAAATAGTACATGTTTTCAATTCAAAATCTCGGAAAATAAAAAATAATAGACCAAATTTATTTGATTTTTTTTACTTGCTTTTTTTTATTAGTAGAGGAGGTAATAAACTTGGTGTAGAGTACAGTAGAATTTGGAGAAGTGTCAGAGTTCCAATTAAGAGACAAAAGACAGTCACATATCATGTCATATATGCATTCACGAACTGAACTTACAAAAAAGTTGGACTGCTGTTAATTCTAAGAAAATCAGTATAATTAGTAGTAATCCGACATTGATTTGGGATCTCAATGTCTTTCTGCTTCACGGTAATTGTGCCGCACGAGCTCATCTTCTTAGTATAGTAGTTGCGGAAGATTTGTTACCGATAACCCACTTGCTAATTATATATTAAAATTACTCTGTAGGACGATAATTAATCCTATGATCATATATTATATTTTATGATTCGTCATGTTCCATACTATTGATCAAGTTGGCTTTAGTAGTATTTGACTCGACTCGTGACACAATGACACAATTAGAGAGGAACCTAAGATTTGAACACAAAAAGAGAAAAGTGAAGTCAAAGAACGAAAAAAGAAAAGGAGATTCATATAATGATCATCATATATCATTTTCATCATACAGTAAAAAAGACTAGTACTAAATGCTCTAATAGCTTACACAATATTGAGACTAACAAAAGGTTCGTTGGTTATAACTTACTTATAATATAAAAATATATACTAACTTACTGACAAAAGTGGAAAACCAAAAAGAAAGAGAATTAAAGTTAAGGTGAAGATCTAGCTAACAACATAGAATTATCCCATTTGCACTCTATCTAGCCTCTAAAAGAACAAATTATAAATAAAATAAAATAAAAAAGTGGAAAATTAATTTAAAGGTAGTAGTCTAGTCGTCGACAAGTTGGTTGTTTTTTTTTTTTTTTTTTTTTTCTTTTTATAAAAAAAAATAAAATAAAAAAGAAAAAGGGAGTTATTGAAGACTCTGACCATTGAGCTAAGAGAATCATAACCATCACCATCATGAACCTCCACAAAAACTCATTTGTTCCATGAAACGTCGTCGTCATTGCATGTCCTCTTCCTTTTCCGATATCATTGGCAAAATCATTCTTCTTCATTACTTCTTACTACGGAGTATAAATTTTTTTTTTTTTTTTTTTTTGGAATTAATGACTGTGAAATCATTACGACTTAACGGGTGAAGTCATGAACAAGACCACTAGGTCTGTCATGAGTTAGCCAAGAGAGGAACTGAATACCCGAATCCGAACCGCGGTCATCCTCAATAAACCGGAACTCATTCGGAGCTCCGTAACATTGCATCTTCTGTGGAGTGCCTTGACCGTATTGGTGAGCCCATGACCCGTTGTAATAGTGTGGGTCCATCATTCCAGCAGTTGGACCGTTGTTGGCGGCTGCGACCGTGGTTGTGGCCGCTGCCGCCCTTCTTTCTTCCTTCTTGAACCTTATTCCACAAGCATTGCATAATGACTGCAAATCCATAAAATCATACATTAATTCAACTGACATTTAAATATTTAATTGAGTTGATGATAGTAGAAATCATTGAATATAATACAATGACACCAACAAGGGACAAGGAATTCGGCAAAAGGAATATAAAGGAGAAGTAAGGAATCCTTTTTATTTTCTTAATTAATTTTAAATCTTATTTATTATTATAAATATTTTTATGTAACGCATTTAATTAAATTACTTTGGGACCGTAATAAGTTTGATCCTGGTATAATGTACTAGTAAAATAAAATTTGAAAGGAAAATCCAAAGTCACTCATTTATTCTTGAGTACATTTTAATTTGTAACGAGTTTGAATTGAATTACCTTGGGACCGCGAGGACCATTACGCCAAAGAGGGGTAGAGGTGGTGTCACAATTAGCACAACGACGAACAAAAAGAGGATCAGCGGCAGCACTAGCAGCCGCAGCATGATTGTTACTACTACGGCTAGGCTTAGGAGTAGAGCTAGAAGACTGCTTAGGATGAAGCAAATCCCAGCAAAAAGAAGACACACTATTACGATGAGGAGTAGGTTTATTAGTTTGTTCATTAGTCATACGAGTGGAAGGTGTACCAAGCGAGAGAGTACAATCGACAGACGAATACGATGACGACGAAGATGAAGAAGAGTACATATAATCAGGCTCATCATCATCATCATAACAAGTACCGTTGTTGGTGGTGTTGTATTGAGGGTATTGTTGCATCGGCCAGTACGCGGCAGAGTGGTGGCCGCAGTACTGATTAAAAGGACCACAAGATGAACACGGACCAACCATATTTATAAATTAAATTAAATTTATAATCAATCTAGCTTGACTTGGAGTTGTAGGAGATGAAATGAATATATATTTTTTGTCGGGTAGTGGGGGGATGGTGAAGTGTAGGTTAAATGTGGTGGAATATAATATACGTAGGAAAAGAAGAAGAGTAAAGTGAAGGAAGTGAATAATAATGGAAGGAAGGAAGGAGAGGAATGAATTGAATTGAAGGTAAGGGAGGGGAGAGAGAGGAGTATTTATAGTAAGAGAAAGAGAAGAAGGGGTAATTGAAGAGAGGGTGGTAGTCAAAAGAACCCACGTGACTAACGGGAACAGTCTTCCAGGGATCTGCCTTCTCCGATCACGAGGAATACAGTCCTCTTCACTCATACACTATATACATTTAGGAATGGACGAAGGGTGCCCGCTTGTGCCACTTCATTTTGCTTTTCTTTTTTATTTTTCCCTTTTTTACAATTCAAATACAATCATTTTTTTTGGATATTGTTAATTCCCTCCATATTTGGTAATACTAATTCAACAAGTACTTCCTTAAGCTAAAAAAAATCTCGAGTAATTAAATTATACATATATAACGGCTTATTATCTTATTTTTACTTATTTTAAGAAAAATACATTAAAGTAAGAAAAGTTCTAATGGGTTAGTGTAGACTGCGATGTACCCAAATTTGATTAACAAATAAAGTAAGTTTTAATAAGGTTAAATAAGTTTCAATATATTCATGTGTATAAGTATAACAATTGATAAATAGATCATCATGTTTGAAACAAGCTATACATTTATTGTGAGAAACTGAGAATCAATCCCAGAATCTCCTGGAATCGGGAGGAAAGCTCTAACCACTTGAGCTATCCCTCACTCTTAGCTATACATTTATTGTCACCTTAGTTAAATTTGGTTAATACGGAGTAGGTTTTAGTATAGAATATCATGGTAAGTCTTGGATCAAAATTAACTTAAAATTAATTCCCGCAAATAATAAATTATACAATCACATATCCAAAGTGTAACAACTTATTTAAAATTGAGACCTCAACCATTTTTATATAAGGAAAGACACTTAAACATTTGGCAAATTGAGTAGCATGTTACTATAGTTAGTAAAATAAATCAAATTAAAATTTTAGTGAGCGCAAATAAACCTCAAAAAAATAAAATAAAATAAAATAAAAATCCCACCAAAATTTGTGTCGTATGTTTTATCTCTGGGTCTGCAAGGCTCCCAAGGAAAATGGAGTAAGGGGATGTTGGGAGCTTCTCTGTTTCCACTCGCCATTTACTCCGTAAGTTGGCAGCAAATGCACGCGCTGCAGTAGTCCAAGTGTACTGATGACTGATGACATCGGGTATATTCAATTATCTGCTGACTGAGCATGTGCCACTGTTAATGCTGACTAGGCTATTGAGAGCAATATCCTTGATTTTTGCCAGATTTTGCAGGATTATAGATTTTTCTTTCTTTTTGATCATTTCCATTTCATTTTTATCAATTTTTTTTTTTTTTTTTGGGTGGTAGTATAGGCTTAAGCAAAGAAATTCTATTCTCATTAGCTGAAATGAGCTGAGCTGAACTAAACTGAACTTATTAGAGCTTAACTGAAATAAAATAAATATTTTATGAAAGAAGGAAATTAGGAGCTGAAGTGAACTGAAAATAATCTGATGAGAATAGGGCCTAAGGTTAACCAGTTAGGGCATGTTCTCATTGACTGAACTGAACTGAAATGAGCTGAACTGAACTGAACTGAAATGAATATTTTATAAGAGAAGGAAATTAGGAGCTGAATTGAACTGAAACGAATATTTTATAAGAGAAGGAAATTAGGAGTTGAACTGAACTGAACTGAAATGAATATTTTATAAGAGAAGGAAATTAGGAGCTGAACTGAACTGAGCTAAGCTGAACTGAACTGAACTGAGCTGAACTGAACTGAAGTGAACTGAACTGAATTTCAACGTAAGAGAACAGACCTTTATCCATAACCTAATAACTTTGGATATGTTTGTTAAAGAGGTTGTTAGATCAAAATTAATTTATCCATAATATTTAATTGAGATAAACCAAATAGGAGAATTTGATCCTCTCACTTCATACTCCGTAATTCAAAACAATAGGTAAATGATAGAGCTATTGACCAAACTTATATGCTGCTCATTCTCCTTTATCTTATTCGTTTTACCCCACATAGAAAAATTAGTTTTAATTAATATGCGATTTTTCATTAAAACTTTCCTTATAATGATCTATCTTTGTCCTTGTAATTTAGGTCAAAAAATTAGCTTACATTGAATTTCAGCATGGGGTTGACTTTTATATTGTGTTGAAATAATTATTAGCATTAGAAGCAACATACTTAATAGTAGTAAAACATCTAATGATTGGCTTAATGCATGGGGTTAGATTTGAGTTGTTCTAATCCGATCAAGTTCAAGTTGAGTTTGAGTTTAATTATTTCTCTTATTAACTTTATGTTGGTTAGGAGTTGTCATCTGTACTTGTTAGCTAATGAGTCCAACAAATCTTCAAATTCATTTTTTGTAATTGAATAAGCTTCCTCTATAATGATACAACATGATCACAATGCAACTTGCTTTGATTCATGATAAATTTTTATTGACCTATCGTAAACATTAATTAGTTGATTCATGTAAGCTAATCGTGAATCTAGTTCTTAGCCCTATTAATGCATCCTCCTAAAAATATAAATAGGATAATATCGCGCAATAAGTTTATTTAGTATACATTAAACATTAGCTAACTTTTAAAAACTTCTATACTTTGTATGGATTAAAAAAAATTTGAATAATAGAAAATGTTTTATTCACTATTTTCACTTATTTGAGCTTGTTTGATATTTATTTTTTCTATTTACTTGAAGTGTGAAACTTTCTCTAACTCATTTTTTGATTGTACTTTGACTAGTACTAATTGGAAGCACTAGCTTCATAATAAGCTCATGCACACATCCAACCTTTATATATTTAGTCATCTATGTAATTGAGTAGAGTGCTTTATTTTCAATTCTCGACAATTGATGATAATAGTAAGTGACCCCCACCTCCCCAAAGTTTTAATTTCCAATGCAATGAAATGATTCCACCCCCTTACTTCCTCTCTACTAGTAAGAGTACGTGATATACATTTGATAGTACGACAAAAATACGCATGAACAATAATGAGTCAATGACCAATCTTATCGGCGTAATCAAAGTCGTTTCATAGTTCATATCAATACAACAGCAAACCACTCCGTTATATAGTACATACTGTTATTCTGTTATAGAGTAGTTACATACTTACGTGTAGTATATATATATAGGCAGTCCAATCAAAGTTACATCATTATCCGAGACTAGGGAACTTATTGTAACATATACGAGGCAAATTCTCAAATGATATAAAGGTTGTAGTGATATAATTAGCAAAACCCTAATCATGTGTTTGTGTGAAAATAATTGTAGTATATACGTTGGAGTGTAGGGTTTAGATTGGAATCAAAGCTAAAAATGAATTTAGCATATAATAAAACTAAATTTGTTTACAATCTGATTTGCTTTTGCAGAGTACAATTGAAGTTGATTGTAGTCTAATTAATTTTTCAAATACTCGTATCCAATATCAAATAGAGGAAAAAAAATCATATGAAGTAGACAACGAAGTCTTATTTTGATAATTAATAATATTATCTCCATTTCATATTATTTGCAACTAATTAATATAAAGTAAAGAGGAAAAATGTCTAATCGTTGCAAATAATATGAAACGGATCAGAGATAGTATGTAACATGTGTTCTTAGCGTACTACCTGGGTTGTTTCCCTATCGACTTTGGATCTTAGCACCCAAAGAAAAGAAATGAAAAGAAAGTCCATGTTACTATTTATATTCAACATAGACAATAAGCTATGTAGTGGCCGTACCCTGATGGCTGTATGTGCTGCATGTCACGTGAAAACAATATAATCAAAACCCTTAGCTTATTGTATTAGATGGAGTACTACTTTTGCATGGGAAATCATATGGTCTTCTCGTCATCATATATATTCACCTCAATTCCATGAACAAAAAAGGAATCTAAGTAACCTGCTATGATAGATTGATAGATTTTTTTTCATTTAACTTTTAAAAAAGTGATAAGAGAGTATAAGAATTTAAAAGCAAGCAATAGAAGATCCCTTAGATCGATTTTGATCCGAGCAAACTCATTATTAATTGATTTATTTTATTTCTTTTCTTGAAAAAGTAGGATTCGTTGCAATCATCACCAAAGCAACTAACATCAGTTTGTGTTTTTGTTTTTGTGCAAAAATAAATATTGAAAAATTATTAAGTTTCGTCAATTGGTTCTCCTGTAGTAGTAAGATTGATTGTTGAGTCAAAGTTACATAGCTCAAGGTTGAGAAAAAGGAATAAAAAGGAGAGTGATTTGGATCATATCTCTGCCAACCGATTTCGAAAAGAATTTGGACCCACCTTTAAGGCTTTAAGCCCAGGGTATTCTTCACCATCTCTTCTAATTAGATGACACATTTTATTTGTTTATCAAATTAGAGTACAATCAAGTTTTACATATTCTCTCATGCAAGTAATCTCTTATCCCCACTCATCATGACTTCACTAGTGGATAAGGTTTCGTCTTCACTAAGATTTCATTAGATCAATTTATTTATTTATTTTTTTTAATATAGTTGATTATTATTAGAATACTGTGTTTGGATCAATTAAGTCTTGTTACAGTGGATTCATATTTAATTTGATCTAGACATAGTTCATGTTATGCTTTAATTAGTTTTAGTTACTTGAGTTTCACAAATTAAGAATATAATTAGTTCGATCATTACTGTAATTTGTGATTGGTGCACCCGGGTGCACCATGCGCATGGTGCAGCCGAAAGAACATTTAGTACATTTAAAAAGAACATGGGTAAGAAATGAACATGTTTTTATTTTCTTGCAACGATAAATCCATCACTCTCTTCTCCTGCAATTTCTCACTCCTCTTTCCCTTCCTATCACTCTCTTTCTTGCTGCCAATTTTCTTTCTCCTTTACACCATTGTTTTCATCTAAGAATTTCAATGAAGGTCTCAAATTGGTCTCACTTTGCTGTCAATCTCGTAATACTGGTACTTCTTCTACTGTTTGGGTAAAAATCATTTCCAAAGTACTCATTTTCTCTCTTTAGAACTTTTCTCTCTATCTTTTCTATTTTTCAAAAAAATTTCAAAATAGCAAAATTGTTCATCTTCAAAGTGAAACCTAAGAAAAAAATTGAACTTATTGCAACAATTCAATCTTCAAACTTGAACAAATGGTGGATTCAAGTAAAATGTAAGTATAAATGTTGTACATGCAAATTGTTTTTCGTCAAAGTGTTTAATTTTGTGAATTTGGGGTTTTTTTTTAAAAAAAATAATAATAATAATTAAAGCTATGAAGTAAAGTTGTTCAAAAAAGAACAATTGGAGGAGAAAGAAGAATAGTAACGAATTGAAGCCAACTGGAATATAACCAAGCAAGGTTAATTTTTCAAACACTAGCTTAGGTTGTTTTTTTTTTTTTTCAAACACTAACTTGTTCTTTTTATTCCATGTTCTTTAA